TTTATTGTACGTATTTTTCTTTTTTTTATATAAATGTACAATTAAATATACAGAAAATTCTATTGTAGCTATATTGACATAAGAGTTATAATAGAATTATAATAGAATGCTTTTATGCAATCATATTGAATATCTTTCTCGAAGCATAAAGACTTCAAAGTAATGATCTTTTTAAAAATATTCAAATATTTAGCTATGTATTATTAATAAAAATGCCATGTTGATCATTACGTTTTTATTAAACAACTAATTAATTTTTTGCGGCATTAATTTCCTGTCATTAACATATAAGAAAGCAGAAATCCGCTACTTTTTCTAATGCACAACTACAATTTACTTTGTATGGCTTTGTAGTTAATTGTTCAAAGTATTTCATAAGTACGATTATTAAATATTCAAGTGGAAGACAGCCATCGATTTCTATATAAACATTGGATAATATAATTAGCGTTATATAATTAGTTTAAAAAGGACTAATGAACACTATTAATAACTTGTCATTCACAAATGTGCTAATGTTAGAAAAAATTCCACATATATACATGCATATATGTATATATATGATGTTTTTTGAATAAAATTTTAACTCTCAAATTTTTATATTACATATAAAAGCATTTCTAATCTAGAAATTAAATGTGTTAAAAGCTATGATAAAGATAAGTTTGAATTTATATTTTTAATAAACGTCATTTATGAACATTTAAATTCCAAATCACACTAATTACAAAAGCACATATATATTCGAAAAAGAAAAATCTAATACATGTCTGCTTTATTCTTTTATTTTCTTCGTATCTTTAGTTCTTTTTTCATTGTATATAATAAATAATACAAAAGATATTGTTTCTATAAAACATTATTTTTATAAAACAGAAATACTTTACTCCTATTATAATTAAAATATATTTTTTTATATATAATTTTTTAATTATAATAAGTGGAAAAACATAGCAGCATGTTGTAAGGTTTTTAAATTTAAATATTTCTTCGTAGGTGGGTTTTATATATAATACGGAATAGAGAAAATCATTTTATTATATTCTGATGTAACATATCTTTTAACATTTTTACATCAAAGACTTAATTAAATATGTTGAATTTTTGGAATTAGCATGATTTGATATTCGAGTTTCCTAAATTAACGCAAAATCTCTTAAAATAAAAAAAAAATCAGCTTTGTATATGACTTAATTTTCTAAACAAACAAGTTTCAGTTTATCCAATCATATTATCACGAATGCGCGTGTATAAGTGTAAAAGGAACGTCGAGGTCTTTGATCGTAAGCGTTATCATATTGATAAGAATTTGAACAGACTCCGACCTTTCTCTCAGGAGTTTGCGATAGGTCAATCGTAAACGATAGATAGGTATGTAAGATGTAGGCGTGTAAATAACACTTTGCAGACCAAAACCACGAGCCCATCTAGAAAAATATAGATATAGAGCACATACTATACACAGAGTGGTCCAATAGACTTTCGACAGCAGCGGGCAAGATCGGCCGCACTCTAATCTCATTTGTCATTTGTCATACAATTTTTTACAGGAGCATTACAAAAGCTCTTGCAATTTTTTATCTTTATATTTCTTATTTTTTCTTTTTTTTTACAAAATAATAAAATTATTGAAAAACTGTGTTAGAATTAACATTTTCATATTCGTTTTAATCAACACACACATTATATGACGCTAGTTTAATTCAAAATTTCAATATCAACAAGTTTGTTCAATAAATGAAATAATAATTATTGCCTCAAGTTTTGGACATTATATTATTACTTTCACACGTATACGCATATTTGTACGAAAAATTATGTGAATAATATTTCTAATAAACAGTAACATTTTTTAATCTCTTTCCTCTTAACTTATGTGTTAAAGGGAAAATACTGTATATTTACTATTTTTTCAGTTTCCCTCTTCATGTAACTTCAGCGACTTATCGATCTAATTGCCATTTTCTTCAAAGGTTGAAGAAGTCGGCAAACCAGGACTAAAATAATTTGGTGAAACATCATTACCCGGTGCCGTTTTTATCTAATCTAAACTTCGTGGTATTTTCGCGACGAGATTAAAACTTTTTGTGATTTGCTCGACCGATTTTTTACCCAATTATTTTTAATCGAAAAAAAACTTTTAATTCAAATATCCTTGCGAAAGAATCTTTTGACAATCATTATGCAAAATACGCTTATCAAATATATAAAATTACAATTATAAAAAATGTAATTACAGAGAAAATGAATATTTCTGTTATATCAACTATTATCGTAAAATATACCCGCGATAAATTATTAATTTATATATTATGTTTCGCAAAATAAAAAATAACTTTAAATTGTATAAATAAAATTTATTTTATAAAGCTTTATTTTGAAAAAAAAAATTTAGAGATTAGTAATATTGTTTCTCTGCTTAAGATGGATTGAAATGTAAGAAAAACATTTTTTATCAGCCTTTGTTTTTTATGGCATATTAAACATGATTCTCTTATAACGAGATAACTCATTTAATTTAACCACGTGTCTGTCGTCTCGCAAGTCTAGAGGAAGATCGATCACGCGGCGAATCCCACGAAGCGCGAACGAGCGCTTACATATTCGATTAATTTGATTGACTGCGCACTAATATCGAGCATACACAGAGCCGATAGGGAGACATGTCGAACAGCAAAAAATATTTGCTTAGCTTTCTCAACAAAGGATCTAAGAAACGTGAGGGAAGAAATAATGGAACAAAAAAGCGAATACTTCCGAGACTTTATCTTAAAGGATGTCTCATCTAAAGTTGCATCTCTTTGTTTCCTCTTCCTTGTTATACTATTTTGTTCTCTAATACTTTTATTTATCTTCTACTTTACGTTTTTCTAATTTCCAATTCGAAAAGCGCTTCTTTCGCAAACGCTCGATCAAATATGGCGTTTCGACGAGGTAAGCGAGTAAACAACTTGACCTGCATTTCCTTATTGGCTTTGCGTATTTTTTTTTGTTTTTTTTTTTTCACAAATTGTATTGCGTATTTCAACGCAAACTAACCGCGGATCCTTTAATTCATCGTTACTATGAATACGGATTCTAACATTTAGAATTAAGCAGGGGAATTGAGACCCTTGGTAGGATAATCGATTCTTCAATTATCTAATTTTATCATTTAACTTTTCATTACATTGTGTTTTGTTTATGCAAGACCTATAAAAATATGATATAACCACTGCTCCGTATACATTTTATATATATTATCTTCTCCAACAATGGAGATTCATTCTATCACAACAACAACAAAATTGATCTGATGATCTAAAATTAAAATACAAAAATGTCATTAAATTCATTGTTGACAGTATTGATTTTGCCTCTCTACTAGCCATTTGCTAGCTATGCACTGCGCCTGTGTAGGCGCAAGATGAGCTCTCGATTTACCCAGTGACCTCAATTATTATCCCGCTGTCTTATTTTGTACAGATAAGACAGATATAAGTACAGTTATATTTTGGTTTGGTTCCTATACGTTATTGGAACTTGAAAATAAAACGGGAAGACGAAATGGACCTGTCGTGATATGTTTTGGACCTTATTGAGCGAAGGATAAGAAAGATCATATTCTTTTCATGAGAATAGGAAGAGAGATTGATTCAGGCAAGAAACATACATTCAATGTCATTAATATTTCCAGTTCCACTTTAACCATAACCGAATCAAATGTATTAAATTATTCGTGAAAAATTTTATTCTTATTTGTTCATATATATAATATATTTTTGAAAAATGGTATTCTTATTGGTTTATATATATAGATATATATTTTTTTATTTATATACATATTAAATAATCTCTTATTTATTTTTAATATCTTATGTATTTTTATTCTTTTATATATATGCCAAAGATTTAAAGATTTATATATATATATATATATATATATATATATATATATATATGTCAAATTGTCATATTACACGAATATTTAGATACCACGTGCTCGATTCGGAAATGTCAAAATCGAAAGGCATTAATAACACCGCCTTAATGCATTTAAGGGAAAGACGAGCTGTCCATGTGTAACGACGCTTTTACCGTTTATCGTATTATATTGTAAGATTATACACATCGACACATTCAGGATTAAAATTATCGCTAAGTTATTATTAATTACCGATTATAGGCATTTTCAATTGCATGCCAAACGCAATCAATTCACCGACGACGAATTGTCTCGACTGCTACATCGACTCTCGAAAAGGCTCGAGTGCACAAATGCGATGCGATGATACACCGACAATCTCATCAATTTTTTTCCAAGTGATATAAATCGATATAATTCCGGCAAGTTCAAATCTCGACGCTAGAAACACCGTGCGTAACTTTTCACTATTTATCTACTATTTTAATTCCTCTTTATTTATAGTAATATGTGAGATACGTTTTTGTATATTTTCATGGCGTCGAAAAATGATTCATCGAAACCGTGTCGATTTAAATGTTCAATCTCGCAATTTTAGGAAAAGTAAAGTATCTATCTATGCTTATCGTAATTTCAAGGAATAGCCGTCGCGATTGTCGTCGGGAAAGAACGATGTATTTTGCGTTTGACATCGGACACAGGTACAAGTGCGCCATCGTCGATTTATCCCATTGTAGAAAGAAATACTTAAGCGCTTTTCATGATATTAAACATTTATAAACGACGTAGTAATAGTGATTAAAACGAGTTTTCGGAAGAACGTTGAAAATTTAGGACAACTTTACATGAATCGATAACAACATTTATTGAAAAAAATATATATATACTAATATATGTATATTGCTATCACATTAAACATAACAATTTATAAACTACTAATTTTCTTGATATTTTACATTTTAATAGAGGGAATATTAGGGTTTTATATATATATATATATATATATATATATATATATATATATGTATATATATTTACGTCTTTCCATTAAAACATCGTATTTAGTAAATCCGGCATTTTCAACGTTTTTCCGAAATTCCGATTCAATTATTTTTCAATTCCACAACATATCGACATATCGTAGATATGTATGATATATATAAATTCGATATTTTTAGAAAATATGTGCATCTATCGTTGCTCGTGTTGGAAACCACCTTCAATTCCCTGATTTTTCAAATAAAAGCATTTACGTTCGATTAATGCTTAAAAATACAGATTTGATCTAATAAAAAAATTATCTAATAAAAAATACCGTCCTTGTTCTATAATATACATGCAAACTCAACAGTTTCATTGAACAGACACTTGAGTATTTCGTTCTAAAGTGTTTATACGGTTGAAACGACCAGTTAATCTCTAGTGGAAAATTTATTCGCGGAATCACAGATAACTATACAGCCCCCGTCGATACTACACTGTTTAACTTTTGTTCGCTAAACATCTTGTAAGATCAAGAGACATACACATGGAATGCGCGATCGAGAGACTCGACTTCTCGGGTATACAATAAATTCACAACTGGTCCAGGTCGGACGTTATTCAAGAGAGACTTTAGAGAAAGAGAGCTCAAATAATATCAAAACGTCCTTTATAGCGTTTTCCACGATCCTTTCCTCTCTCTCGTCTCGTGCTTAGTATAGTATAACAAAATATAAATCTGAAGGCGACACATACGTATGCGCGCGATCGCGCGACCACGTACTGGTGTACAGAATCGTTTATTGGATCAAGTTAGCATCCCGAATGAAGAAATAAGTCGCCCGAAATATCAAACAATGCATTCTATTTTCATCGTTTTGTCAGATCAATTTTTATGACGTTTCGACTATTTTCCGAAACGAATCTACGTGATATAAACAAGATTGAAAAAAACGTCGATAATTGTTCGATGATGAAACTCGCGTATTTCTTTCGTGCGATATAATTTGTTATGCTAACGTAATCTAACCAACGCCCTGTACACTTGTATACAGGTAGATATATTTATCTAGTACAACATTTTCTCGTTCTTTTCATGTAGAGTATCCGGTGTAATAAAGGTCGGTACCGATGACAATTATATAAGTTCAAGATGTCTTTTAAATCTCATAATTGCGAAACTTACTGACGACCTCGTTCGGCTCCTGATAGTCGAATGGAACTCCGTGACCCGAACGATAATAGAGATTCATGGCTCCACCCTCTGAAGCCCTTCTATGAACATTTGTAGGATGACCTCTTAGATGAGCCGGTGAACCACCTGCCTCTCCAGTCGTATCCGGCAGCATTCTGTCCTTTGTCTTCGGCGTGCTCCAATGCATAGTCTGTGAACAGGAGAAAATTCACAAGTCGATATAAGACGTAACAATAGTCAAACGCGATATAAAACATCAAATTGATGTTTGATCAAAGCATCAATGCATTATAATAAACAGCATGTCGATATGTAAAATCTTCTTTCTTCAAATCTTTCAAATAAATTTACAAATACTTATCTTATATGCTTGCAGGAAAAATAAATCTTGTAATAGTTGCTTAAAATTATAAATTTACAAATAAAAAGAAATAAATTTGATTTATTCCAATTATAATAATGAATTACGTACCATTGACTATTTTGTGATGAACATACCGTCGTGAACAATAATTGCAAAATTATTACATCTTACCTGCTGCACATGTTCCTTCATGCCAAGCCACTGCTTGTAACTAATCTTGATACCGCTATTCCGCCATTTGTCATAATTGCATCTTTTCTCAGGATCGCATAAAACCTCTTTCGCATACTATAATATAAATGAGTACATCTGTTTAAGATTCGAAAAAACCTGAGCAATTTAATTCGACTATAGATGAATAAAATTCAACTTTGCTCTATGTGTGGAAGACGTACCTTCAATTGTTGGAATTTCTTTTCGGCCTCTTTGTCACCTTCGTTTTTGTCCGGATGATACTGAAGAGCTAATACCTTATACTCCGCCGTGATTTGCTCGATCTAATTTTTAAAATTAAACAGGGATTGTCCACGACATCATTCAATAGCCAGATGGAAAAATTAATCTAATTGTACTTTGAAATAATTTGTTTCCTTTCGATTCAAAAAATCATAAAAAAAATGTGACATTTAGTTGATTAAAACGGAACATCGTTCAATTTAATTCATGAGATAATGTTCTGGGATGACACACTCTGAATGGTAAAAATCTTACAGATATAAAAGTGAAAAAATCACAATACATTCGATACTTTTAATTTAATACTTTCTCCTCTTTCTGTAAAATACTTCAATATTTATGACACAGATATTATATTTAAATATCTCGGCTGTCTGCCGCAAGATCACGTTCATAGTATCATTCGCCGACGGAAACGAGATGTCATGAACACATTGACTGTAATTTATCGACTGGGGTCGGAGAATTTTTATCAAAAAGTTCACAGAGATAACTCTAGCAAAACATAAACTGAAGAATCGAGAGGCAAACGACCTTTATATCTCTATTAAGATTTTTCTAATATCGTTATTACATTGTGTACTCCAATAAAAAATAACGAGATCAATTAAATACTTATTTTAGAATTCAGAATTTATTTTTAATGTACACGAATTATATTGGTAACATCAATAAAAATTATATCAGCACAAACAATAAAAATTCTCTCGTTATATCTCACTCGTTAAAATCTTGTTATATTGCATATGAAATAACGAATTTCGCGTTTCTACAAATCAGAACAATTTCACGCACAATGGAGAATGTGATTCGATTTCAACAGAAATATTGTTGCTTAATTCGCAAATTCGTAAGTTAGGCAGAGCATATCGTAAACGAGGAACAGATGAGACTGTACCTAATTGTGTTGATCGAGTATTCAATTAATTGCGAGTTTAAATTACATTTTCCTTCTAGGTTGTAATTATTACGGAAGCAACTCGACGTTTAATTAAATTATGTCAGTAGGGAAAATTGGTTTCGTACATGTGCATATATTTGGAAAGGTCACCATTAAAACATATCAGTACTATTAAATTCTTGACGAAGATTACTCCTTATGAATTTTACATTTTGACAATATTAGTTTTATTAATTAATGCTGTGTCACAAACAATCAAATATGAAAATTAGAATTTAAATTAATAGTGATACATAAACAAAATACCTTTGTTTTAAATACCTTTACTGTACATGATAAAGAATTTTTCAATTTATTAATTTATTTATTTATTTATGTGAATGTTCTATTTATATTAAGATTAATTTTAAGTAAGTATTGAGCTGTTTTTTTTTAATTATTAAGCAATATTTCTTCAAATATTTTTTGTTTTATTGTTATCTTATCTATTTTAGTTACGCATCATCTATTAAGTTAATCTAATTGACTTCGAAATAAGATATCTGGTTTTGTAATTATAATTTTCATGATATATGCACACTCACTGTTTAAATATTTTACAAATATTTAAAAGCTCACAAAAACGAAAGCTTGATCGGACATATCACCATGTGATACATACAACTTGTCAAAATGTAATAATATATGCTTGATAAACATTATGAATTTAAGATAAATTCTATATCAATTATAATCTGTATAATAAAACCAACTAAAATATTGAATTATCCAAAAAAAATTCGCGATGCAACACGAATAGTTTAGGAGCGAATATTTTCCGCGCAATAACAAACCGCCTCCAGAGAAAAAAGCAAACGCAAATTTTACAATTCTAAATTGATTTTATTTTACACACAGAAAAAATATAAAATGTATTCCCAACTTTCCCTCAAAATTTAGTTTCACATTTTTGCTGCATACATATATTTGATTTGTAAATACGGTCCTTTGATTCTAAGTTTTTCTTTTTTTTTTAATGTAACAAACGCGTGAAACGTGAATCGAAAGGAAACTCAAATAGTCCATCACATCGAACGATGAATCCATCAAATTGACATAAAATTTGAGCTGATATATGAAGCACAAAATAAACGCAATAAATAGAAATTGTGCTGTCTTACCGTGGAAGACTCATCGCAGGATAACAGCGCGTAATAGTCCTCTTCCTCGCTGGGCGAGTAATTGATGGCGTCCTCGACATTCATTTCGCAACCCTCAAGTACGAACACTCCCTTCCTGGCTCTCCCCTTTGTAGCCTCTCGCCGGGTGTCCTCGATTGCCAAACTTCTCGTCCGCGAGCGAGAGAGGAACTAAGTCGATCGAGATCGTCCGTCACCTGTTGCGAAGCAAGTGAATCGGTGAGTGGCACGTCGCCGACTACGACGGGCACCAAAGTGAGCCGAGTAAAGGGAAAACCGTGTCGCAGACCCGGAAAGACCCGATTCCCGGGGAATCCCGCGCGACTGCGTACTCGCAATCCGGAGCAAGAGCCCGCATCCCCTTTCGCAAAACGCGCAGTTGCGACTTGCCGGCTTTGCACCCTCTCTTGCTTCCCTTGTATCGCTCCGTAAAGGGCTGCTCTACATGCATATGCATACGTATACAGATATACGTACGTGCACACGTATTTCTAGAATCTCGATATAATTTACAGTTTCTCTCAAATTCGTTTCCTCTGTTTCTTAGGAAGTTCTGTCAAATTAAATTTCACCTAAATAAATCTCTCGCCGTCATCTCTGCGAGGATTATACGAGATGATGAGAGAGAGAGAGAGAGAGAGAAATTTCTACGCAATCTTTTTACTACGCATTTTAATATATGCTCTCGCGTCTCGTTTTTTTTTATGCATTTGAGAAATATAAAATGCAAAATTTTTATTCCTTACTTTCTTATAATTAGTAAAAGTTAGAAGTTCATTAATTAAATTATCGTAAATTGCAATATAATTACTGTTAGTTATTATATCGCAAAAGTGATCGCGATATTGATTTTAGTAGAAGGGAAAACTTGGAAAAAGCTTATTAAAAAAAGCCTGTTTATTACAAAATAATAATAATGTGTAATATAAAAGGAAATAAGGAGGGATAATTTTACTACCTTACTTTATATTAGATAAAGCTATTCTAAATTAAAAAGTTAGTCTAGGAACGACAATTTAAACCTAATTTGAAATATATTAGAAATAAACTCGACACAAATTCGCGATTTCAACGAATAATATCGACAGCGCGACGATGCATACATTCGTTCTTATATAATGTACGTGGAATGCATCGTTATCAATGCGAAACTTTTAAACTCGTTGAAATGGCTTTCAAGATCGTGCTGTCGTTACGAAACCACTTTTTCCTCTCAAGCAGTCGCATATGGAAATATATAGCACTTACAAGACCAAGGATTTAATCCGTGTTTCTCTCTGACAGCTCTCTCGCGAGATTGCACAGCGTTTCTCTTTAGAACACGCACTTGTACGTGTCGTAAAGAGCACTATGCGATATTGAACTCAACGCATCTACGTATCGCTGACGCGAGATTCCAGACTCGTGGCTTTCACTCGCGGTTAAACAACCTTGAACCTCTTTTATCTCACAGTTTTACCGACTGAGAGAGAGAGAGAGAACGGGATTTCTTTTATTGATGTTTTTTTTTTTCAAAAATAAATGTTATATTTAAGGTGAGTTGAGCGATGCGAGATATTCTATATATTATTAAAAAAAAGGAGAGAGAAAGAAAAAGAAATTTAACGAGCTGCAATTTTAATTTTTTTTTTTTTTTTTTTTTATAAAAATATAGAAATATTAAATTAATCACCTCTCTCTATTTCTCTCGCATTTCTATTATTTTGTACAGTATTTTTAAAAAAATCCAATTTGCGAGACATACTATAAAGATCACTTGTCGCGATGTCGAAGCGAGACGGGCTTGATTAGAAATTCAAATCTTGTGAGGAATTACGAGAAAGGACGAACGAAAAAGACACGTGAATGAATGCATGAATCAATTATGTATTCTTCTCAGTTCTACGGGGGTACGACAGATAATGATCACCGGCACTTTCGTTTACAACTGTTGATGCCACTGTTTTAACTCTCTAGCGCACCATATTGTCTACAGGCGATGACATAAATAACAGAGTTGAGCAATTTTACGGATCACAAATAATGAACGAAAAAAAATTACCTAGATATTATATATAAAAAGAAAAACAAATTTAAGTCATAATATATCGAATAAAATAATTATATTTGATATGTAGGTGGATTGTGTATAGAAATCAATCTCAAATATTTTTATAATGTTAATAAATACATGTTTATAAATGTTAATAAATACAAATTTATAAATGTTTTGAATATATTACTTAAATAAATAATTTCATCACATAAATTAATATGTTTTTAAATTTATGTAATTATATAAATTTAATCTAGATAATAAAAAATTGTAATTATTTTAATATGCATTTTTATTAAAAGAAATCTTAAATAAAGAGAGATACGTAAATACTGTTGTGTGATTTATAGTAAATTCTCAGAAACAACGTTCTCTGAAAATTTAATGCACTACCAGCATGTCACATAAAGAAAAAAAATACAATGTCGGTGTAGTAGCATTCAACAGTTGAAAAGACGTATAGCCGTTTAGTTGACACATGTCAAACACGTACAGTACCTACACAACGGTACCTATTTACGCGCCTAGTTTGTGAATTTTCTTGCGAGTAAAACCTTTGAAATTTAAAACAATATTTTTAATTTTACAATTTTTCAATTTTACAATTTTTCAGTTTTAGGTGGAATAAAAAATTCAATAAAATTGCAAAAAATATTGTTAATTAAAGAGTCTCATTGATTAAAAAAGCACGAGCAAAGCCTAGTGAAGAAAATGAAATGTTTCATTTATCTCGCTTCAAGATTTCTTAACAATATAAATTAACATATTGTTAACATATAGATAGATATTATATAAAAGTTAAATTAAAATCTTACTAGACTGTAGACCATCGTAATAACTTTCTATAATTAAGACTCATTTCTAATTTATGTACAACTTCAAAGTACGATTCATTAATTTGAACAAATCCGCCCAAAAATATGTAAATTCATCTTAGATAAGATGAAAATAATTTTGTTTTAAATATATCTAAAAAATAAAATTATATATTCGTGACTTATCTAGATATAATTTCCAGATAATATTATTTTTAAAACTATTTATGTAAACACAGTTATAAAAAAATATAAATTATAAAAGGAATATAAAAATATATTCATATTTTTATTTATAAGTTCTTATCGCTTACTGCTTTTTATCGTTTACTATTTAAGTATTTTTATGTGCTATGATTCTAAACCAAATTATCTGAACATTATTCCAGATAATTTAGTAAAGGTAACTTTACTAAATTATCTAAAATTTAATAAAAATAACTTTGTTTATGTAAGCTGCAGATATAGATAATACATATTTTTAGATAAGGTGACGCCAAAGTTTTATCCAGCTAATCATCTATATAATTTTATTTAGATAACAGCAAATAACACTGTCTACACTAATACACCTTTCACCTCTTACGTTTTGCGACCAAATCAAGAAGCAATCACTACTGACCGTCACGGTATAGTACCGCTCGAAGAGCTTTACGAGACACGTGTCGAAAGGGTCGAACCCTTTTCACCGCTCGAGAAGATACGCTCACAGGAAACACATGCTCCGCTTCGTTTCCGCACGCATATGCGTGACAGACACGCAGCATGCACGCGCGGCACTACCTCAACAGAGATTGCTAAATACTCGCACTATATATATATATATATATATATATATATTTAAATATCTGTAAAGAACCGTACCAATATTTAAACTCCCCGATTTTTATTAATTTGAACAAATTCGCCCAAAAATATGTAAATTCATCTTAGATATAAGATAAAAATGATTTTGTTTTAATTTTATCTCAAAAACAAAGTTATATGGCGATTCATCTAGATAATTTCCAGATAATATTATTTTTAAGACTGCTTATGTAAACACAGTTATAAAAAAATATAAATTATAAAAGGGATATAGAAAAAAAGTATGTTGCGAAAAAAAGAGTCACGCCTGAAAGGGGATACTGACTGTGTTTTGTCGATAAATATTATTTTTATTTAACTATAATATTTATTGGCTATACAGAATGAAAAATCTTTTATTAGAATTCAACAAATCTAGGTTACTATATATGTATATAAAAAAATGAAAAAGCTAAATAATTAGTTTTTTATCAGTCTTTTACACTGGGTCGATCTAACTTAAACAATAAGAAAACTGTAATTATGTAACTTTCTTGGTTTCTTTTAATATACACATATATAGTAACCCAGATTTGTTATTATAAATATTTTCATTCTAGTAAAGGATTTTTCATTCCGCATATCCAATAACACAAGTTAAATGAAAATCATATTTGTCGATCCAATTTACTGAAAAAAATACACAAGATTAATTTCCAACAATATTCTCGCCACGTGTCCCGGGACATTCTAGCTGTCAAACGATAACGAATAGGACGAATCTTCCTATTAAACGAGAGAAAGAAAAAATGGTGCGAGGGTCAAGAAGAAGCCACGTGAGTTTCTTTATCGTACGCGGGTCGTCCTTCGGCGTCCCAACACTTTCCCGTCCTTGTCTATCCCGAAATAACATTTCGCTACGAAGCATACATGGGCGTTTCTTCGTACGATTGCCAGATGCGTGGGTGGTGGCAGCGAAGAAGAGAAGGAGAGCATAGAAGAGCGATCATATGGTAGTGCAGCCGATGTGTGGGGCTCCCTCCAGGTCTGGCCTGTCAGTTCTTCATGAAGTGTTGCGCCGTACCCGTGCATGATCCCTGACCGAGCATGACCCTGACGAAGTTTGCGAAATCTCAACGTTAAACGTTCACTTGGAGGCTACGAAAAAGACTTTCTTCCCCTAGTGAGCTTTTCTATGGAGATGGGTGCAACAGAGATGACTTTGGAGTGTACGAAGCGTGAAAAAGAAGAGAGAACTGCAGGTTTAATGTTTGTTTCCTGATCAAGTGCTACGGAATCGGAAATGATCGGTGTCATGGATCGCAACCGATTATATTAATTAAATGCCAAGCAAATTGTGTGAATATATCTAATGATTGGGAAAATTGTTTCAGTTGTTTTCTTACACCAATCGTATGTTATGCAGAAAATGTACTTGAAGAAATCTTGAAGCAATCATCGATCGTCTCGATGAATGAATCACATTCTCGAATATTGCTCATCGACAATTGAGACTGAATCAAATATATAATCTCTTTACATTGAAATTTTTCATGTAATCATTGGATATTGAAATCCTGAATTTTTAAGTATGAAAATGCTTAGTGATTGAAGATTATAAGATAGAGATAGAGACGAATATTAATATTAATATTTTACGTACAATTCAAGAGAAGAGAAAAAAGAAGAAGTAAAAATGAGAATTGGCAATTTTTTAGAAGCAATGAAAAAGTACTCATTTATTTCAGTGTTGAAATAATGAATGAAAAATGTGGTTTGTTGCAAACTTCTTCTCTTTCGAGATCTTAATTTAAAAGATTTCAAACAAATTATAGAAAAAAAAACTCAACACTAATGCAAGCAATATTAACAGCAAAGCACTGAAGGTGAGTTTGCAGATCACGTACTAAACAAATTAGTTAAAACATTTATATTTGCATATTTGTATTTTCTAGGACCTATGTAAATTTAGTTCTTATTTTTACATTTTTTTTTAAATATTATTATTACATACATCAATGTTTACTTTATGCATTAATATATTTAAACTTGTATGGAAAAAGAATAACTTGAATGAATATTCTATCGATAACAAAATAATCTACATATAATTATTTTTAATAAACCAATCTATATACAGTTTCTACATAAAAAATATTCTCATTTTTTTATTTAACATTGACTCCAATATGTAAATTAGACACGATTATATTTTATATCAGTTTATATTTAGTTTCTTTATAAACCTTGAAAAATACAATATAAAGTAAAAATAAGAAAAAGGAAACAATATAAATTTTAAATCACTGAATATAAAAATTAATAATGCACAATACATACCTGCAAATATATAAAAATTAAGTCTTAAATTTATAAAAATCTTTTCCTTATAAATAACCCTCTGGCACTATTAAATTAACTTATCTTATCTTTAAAAGAACCATCGAAAAATGTGAAAAAATTTCCAGAATAATAAGAGAAACTCCATGTGAGTCAAAAGCGCAATTAAAAAAAAAACAATCAAGCGAAGGCGCCGAGCGTCCGTTCTTTTCCACACAGAAAGGAAAGAACTTCTCAATTATACTTGAAACTAAAGCGCGTCTTTATGTGGTCTCGAACAAGGCGCTACATTCTAGATATAGCGTGTGCCGCACATGTGCGCGCTTTTACAGGGGCACGTGCACCACCGGATACAGGCTCCTTTTTATCGGGCCCGTACTACCTCGGTGCAGGTGCAGTTGCAGGGCGCGATGCAACGCAATGCAGTCCTCCGCGACGGAAGGAACGGGCCTCTATTAATAGCCGCGAATGCGCGTGATTTGTTCGAGAAACCCGCGCGTTTACACGCAGCTATATGGATACGCGATACAATACGAGCTTTTGCAAAATATCATGTATATTTTTAGCATTTTTTCAGAATTTTATTTTTCACGAGTCAAGTAGTTGCGAGTTTCTGCAGAATTATTCGCGGCGTTCGTGCGAACCAACTTGTAGGAAATAATAAAAGTAAAATAAAATACGTCACGTCGCACGTGAAAAATCTCTTGTTTATAAAATATGTACATAATTCATTTATATGCACAGTCACTTATAACAAATTTGATTGGATAAACTACTGCGCATCAGGACACATTAAAAAAGCTATTGTATTCAAATTTACAATAGCATAAGTAATTACAACAGTAAGAGAATTAATACTACAAGTTGTTATTATTATTATATAATATGGGTGATAATAAGTCGTAATATTTATTATCTTATTATTTTAATTTTAATTACTTATAATAGTGTAAATTTGTATGCATACAACAACCTTTAACGTGCACCAACATATGCATTAGTTATCTCTCTCTCTCTGTTGAAAGAAATAAATTGTAAAACATGATAAATATATCTTAAATTGATGATTCTTATAGCTTCACCTTTTTTATAAATTCTTAATAATATATGTGCTTCATAAAAATTTTTAAAATAGTCGCATTTTTTAAAAGAACTATTTTTATTTCTTTCGCTCCCTATTTGGGTGAAAGAGTATATGAAAACGCTTGACTTTTCATGGGTACAATCACCCTTTTTCCCTCTCTCTCTCTCTCTCTCTCTTTCTTTCTACCTCTCTATTTATCTCTGCCTCTACCAGGCACGTTCTGCCTCTCCCAGTTGTACGAAAATAGAGACTGCCATCGTTGCAGCAACTATGAGGGCAGAAAATTGTCGCGGAGTCGCGTGTATTCGTTGAACTAAATTCGAGGAAACGCACAGATTCCCGCTTAATTTCATCAATTACAATCAGTGAATTGAGGCCAATAACGATCATATAAGTTTAATATAATTCAAGAAAAATTATTGCAATTTTTCGTGCAAAAATAGCTCTGTCACGATTTGTCGATAATAAAAAAAACTAAATTATAAATTTCAAGTTAATTAAATTTTTCAAAAACATTAAACGTTAACTATAATTATACATATTAGCATCAATCTTTTTTTGTGCGCACGTTGAAGGTATGAAAATTTTATTTAGTACAAATTTCATAATAAAGGGATTAAAAAAAAATAAGCGTGTTTGATCAAAATATATGGCTGCCTCCATTCAGAACGATTTTACAGAAAATTTATCTGTTTGATAATTTTTCCAAATGATTATATAAAAAATAAATTGAAATACGAGATACAAGGATGTTTATTTACGAGGTTGGCTTTATAGAAAAGAATCTGTTGGTTAAAAGAGAGATTTCCTCGTACAAAGCACCGTGATAGGTATCGTTGTCCATAACAGCAGCGGATGAGACACGGAGGACAACGTGATGCAGAGAACAACTTGATAATGTCGCGTGCATAACATGTGAATGAGTTCGCTCTCGACCCCCATTTCTCCACCCTCTTCTGCGTGTAAGTGTAAACGGGTCGTGAGAGACGATGCGCGCCTCTCTCACCGTGCTAAATATATAATATTCGCGCGTATTTTCAGCGATGAATGAAAGCGCCGACAGACAGTCGTAGATTTTCCCGCCTATGATTTTCTCAATCGAAAGGGAAAGAGTCCCGACCGTGATAACGATCTCTCGGACGTTCCAAATTTCTATAGTTTTCGCCACGTCCTGCCTGAGGGCGAGTCAAAAATAACGCGGGAAATAAACATGATTTATACTCGGAAGACAATTCAAAAGTTTGTTCAGGACAAAATTTATTAGACACAAAACACATTTTTGTAGAGAAACTGGTCTGTTGATAGATATTTTCATAATGGAAAAAATAAATAAATAAATAATTAAATTAATTTTGAGGAGTTGTCTCTCTCAAATAATTTTATAAAATATATATCTAATAATTAACTAATAAATAATTAATGAAATAAATAATTAATTAAATAAATAATTAATTAATTAATTAATAAACAAATATGATTTATACTTGGAAGACAATTCAAAAGTTTGTTCAGGACAAAATTTATTAGACACAAAACACTTTTGGTAGAGAAACTGGTCTGTTGATAGATATTTTCATAATGGAAAAAATAAATAAATAAATAATTAAATTAATGTTGAGGAGTTGTCTCTCTCAAATAATTTTATGAAATATATATCTAATAATTAACTAATGAATAATTAATAAAATAAATAATTAATTAAATAAATAAATCATTAATTAATAAATAAACAAATATGATTTATACTTGGAAGACAATTCAAAAGTTTGTTCAAGACAAAATTTATAGACACAAAACACACTTTTGGTAGAGAAACTGGTCTGTTGATAGATATTTTCATAATGGAAAAAATAAATAAATAAATAATTAAATTAATTTGAGGAGTTGTCTCTCTCAAATAATTTTATGAAATATATATCTAATAATTAACTAATGAATAATTAATAAAATAAATAATTAATTAAATAAATAAATAATTAATTAATTAATAAACAAATATGATTTATACTTGGAAGACAATTCAAAAGTTTGTTCAGGACAAAATTTATAGACACAAAACACACTTTTGGTAGAGAAACTGGTCTGTTGATAGATATTTTCATAATGGAAAAAATAAATAAGTAAATAATTAAATTAATTTTGAGGAGTTGTCTCTTTCAAATAATTTTATGAAATATATATCTAATAATTAACTAATAAATAATTAATGAAATAAATAATTAATTAAATAAATAAATAATTAATTAATTAATAAACAAATATGATTTATACTTGGAAGACAATTCAAAAGTTTGTTCAGGACAAAATTTATAGACACAAAACACACTTTTGGTAGAGAAACTGTTCTGTTGATAGATATTTTCATAATGTAAAAAATAAATAAATAAATAATTAAATTAATGTTGAGGAGTTGTCTCTCTCAAATAATTTTATGAAATATATATCTAATAATTTTACTCTTTTTTTTCCGTTTCTCTGAAATATTTGCATACAATAACATAAATTTATTTTATATTGCAGGTATTCGCGGCATCCAGCTGAACGTTCCTATAGAAAATATCATCATGGCAGTCGGTGAGTTTTATTTTTTCCCGATGCAGCAATTGCAAAGATCGGTAGAGATTGCATACAGATTTTAACGATGCGACATTCGGTACGCGAGTCACGCCGTTTACGCATAATCACGCGTCTCTCACATCTCTCATTTTCCTTCGCAGACGAACGATAGTAGCCTACCCGCAACATTTGTTGGACAAAACCGCAAGCCATAATTCACAATGTAATTTCACGCAGTGTCAGATTTCAATTCACGATGTTAATACGTATACGTAATGACACAAGAAATTCGGGGATACTCTTCTATTTTTCTCGTATCCAATTAAATTCCTTCGATTCAATTAATTATATAATTTATTAATTATTTAAATTAAAGATCAAATTATTTGTCGAGATATTTTTCTCTTTAAAATGTAGAAAAATTTAATATAATTTATACGAAAAAAAAAAGAATTTTCCGACACAGCATCATTAGATAACCCTAGAGTCTAGAGTATCGAGAAGTTCCAAATGAGAAAAAATAAAATGTTATAACTTAATGCAAATCTAATTTTGTTAAAAACAATTTTTTTTTAATTAAAAAATATAAAATAAAAAAAATTTTGAAAAATTATTACCTACTAATTTCTAATATAATTATAATATTAAAAAAAGTTTTCTTAATAAAAATATTAAACAAGAAAGAAGACTTCGCATCGCGTTTGGATCTTAATTAACCCGCTTTTAAAAATATATATAATAAAAAATCGCGATCAAGAGAAACTCGTAATAAAATGCAACTAAATAAGAATAGATAAAAAAATGTCGTACAAATATAACTTGCATAAACATTTATCCAATTAATGCCCGTTGTCGGGGATTAAGAGCGCGAATATTGCAAATCGGGGTGATGTATTTCCGGTGCGGCTACTACGTATTCCTGCCGAGGCTCTCTAGGTGGAGAGGGAACAATGCAACGTCCGGTTCGGTGTATCCCCCCACCATGGTCGAATCCAATGGTAATCGTAGGAAGGCTCGTTCATGGTGTCCCATGAACGTAATTCAGCTCCCACAGTCACAGGTAGACCCTCTATTAGCATAGTCGCGGCTAAACGCGGACGTGATAACCGGCAACGTGATAAGCGCGACATCGTTAAATGGCACATTTCAATGCAGATTAGAGGGACATTTTTTGTGCAAAATCGGGTTGAAAGAATTGCGCGCGTAGCATTCAGATAACTCTGTATTTTTGAATGCAGCGCGAATAAAAATTGATTTCATCGGACTAATTAATCAATTAATTCCCTCCCTTCAGTTTTTTTTAATTAAAAATATGAAATAAAAAAAATTTTGAAAAATCATTACTAATTTCTAATATAAAAATTGTAATATTAAAAAAAAGTTTTCTTAATAAAAATATTTAACAAGAAAGAAGTTCCTTTGAACGTGCTGTATGCAACAATTTTTAATTATACGAGTTATATAATATGACGTATTTTTGTATGATGGAGATATTTCATGGGAATTCGCGGAATTTTGTAATAAAAATTGCGGAGCTCAAAATAAATAAATAAATAATTTTTGCGCAGAGAAGAGAATATAACGAATCAGTGCGAGATCGAGTGCTTGTGTGACCCGGATCCGTCCGATCCGCATGTTCACAGATAACCCGTCGTACTTCTCGCTGTCCGGCGGGGCACCGTCGTCGACGAAGCCGACGACGACGACGTTGACGTCCCCGTTGAGGTCGCCCAGAGGTCACGGCGGCGGCTTCTCCGCCTTGTTTCGACGGAGAGCCTGCGGCAAGATGGGCGCGGCTTCCTCCCAGAGTGGCATCTCCGAATCCACGTCCAGCGTGCACCACGAGAGCCGCAGCAACGTCTCGGGGACGTCGACGCCGGAAGAACGAGTCCCGATGCTGTCGCGAAATGGCGCGGTCCAGCCGTCCGGCAAGAGGAGAAGCTTCCGGAATCTCTTCAGGTCCGTGAGTGCGAACGCGGACCACCAAAAGTTCCTCAAGGGCGACCCGAGACCGTCCGATGTCGCGCCACCTTCGCCCTATTTGCCTCATAGGTATGTATGGTAAATACAGGATTGGGTAAGTTAATGATAAAATTAATTTAAAATATGTGCTAAATTAAAAGGCCAACTTAACGAGCTAATAAGGTGTTAATTAAAAATTTTTTTATTATACGTTATAAAATAATATTACAAATGATAAACGTTTCGACTGTACGAAAATTAATTTAATTAAGTGAAAAATTGTATGAACAAGAAAATAACTCAGTTCAAGTTGAGATTTAATTAATTAACTGAAGGTAAATCAAAAATAACTTTTAAAAATATTATTTATTATAAACTAAAATTTTGCTTGTTAATTCTTTTAAAATATATAATAAGAGATAACAAAGAAATTTTGATTTTTATATAGAAATGTATTTTTTGATCATTACAACTGATGACAAATGAACATAAAAATTAATTGTACTTTAATTTAAAAATGATACGTTTATAATTTGTAAAAAAATAATAATGGTATTCGGAGGTAAAAAAAATTTAACTTGGGAAAAAAGTTAATAAGTTTAACTTTTTTAACTTTTAATTTATTAACTAGTTATTACCCAACCCTGTGTAAATATCACTCTTTCATGAGGATAGAATTCTTTGATAAGATGTTGAAATATAATAAATATATACACTAAAAAGATTATTAAATTAATAAATATTTATTTCAATACTGTTTAATAAATCATTTGTTTGACACAAACAAATATTTATCTGTTTTGAAAAGAATTTTCTCATATCAAATAAATATTATTAGTTTCAAATAAATGATTTATGAGGCAGTATTGAAATAAATATTTATTTGAATTCAATAAACTTTTTCAATGTAATAAATATATATATAATAAATATATACATATAATACATATAATAAATAAATGCAATATTATTGATTTATTTAAATATTGTATAGAATTATATGTATAACTCTTTGGCAAAAAGTACCGATCGCGAATTGCAAGATTCGAACCAGATGAATAATAATGAAAATATTTTTGTCTTGTCGATGCAGATCGCATTCGCATTCCGAGAGAGATCGATATCGTCCTGGTCGAGGCAGAAGAGTCCTGAAATCCGCTAGCGAACTTCTGTCAAACGATATGGTTTACTGTGGTCTAACAGGGGGCAATTCCAAGAATCATAATGGCAGCGATGACAATAGCAATGACGATGACGATACCGTAGAGATCTTCCTGGACGATGCCAGGTTAATACAAAATTATTACTTCATCTATGCGAAAAACGTCATTCTTTATCAATTGTACCATATATGTTTCGTATAATTAAATTTCAAATTATATATATATATATATATACCCATACAACACACAAGTTTGCAGCAATATTGCAACAACAACATTGCAATATTGCACATTGCATAGCAGAAATATTATATAGACATGAATTTGCAATATAGTTTAAACAACGTTGCAGCAACATTTCAGAAATATTATGAAAATAAAATTCACGCAAAAAATATTAGGTATAGAACATTCAGTCCGATCATGTATTTAACACATTTCTAATAATCCAATAGTAATATTACATATTTATTTTATTGCATTATTGCTGCAATGTTATAGAACAATATTACTGAAAACGGACATTTTACCGTTGCTGCAACTTTATAGCAAGATTACTGCAACATACCACAATATTTATACAATATTGTAATATTAAACTATATATAAAATATATATATATATATAGATATGTATAAGAAACAAAAAATATTATGCAAATATATATACGTACATATATATTTCTTTCTTATTACATTATCAAATATAATTGTTTGAAATAAAGTAAGGAAAATTCTTTTTCAGGTATTACAATATTTCCTCCACTTTTCCTACGAGTGGCTCGACCGCTTGCCGAAGAAGACATTCGATCGGCACTTTTCTCGAAAAAGAAGCAAGCATATGTAGTAACACGACTCCTGGACGACAAACGGGAGAATGTAGGAATTTATTAGAAGTGGACGCAATGGCAGCTCCGACATCGGTCGACCAAATTGATGCTCCTTCGTGTAACGAAGACAGACAAACGTCTTGCAACAGGAATAGACGGAGAAGACACAAGAGCTCGTTTAATAAAGGTAAATATCGATTAATATGTGTAGCGATTTTCTTATCGAGTTTAATTTAAGCGTTCTTCAATCATTAAAGCATCATTGATGGGATACATGTTCTTCATGCGCTCTCAATTATTAATTCAATAATATCGCCACGATCATCGGCCAATTGCTCAAAAATTATTATCGGACTAACAAAATTCATTTTAATATGTATTTAATATAAAAGTATTATTTTTTCAAAGTAATGATAAATAAAAAGTTCGAAACTATATTGCGGAAAAATTGCTTCGCAGTCAACAAATCTTATATATTTGAATATAAGATTTTAATTTCAATGAAAAATATTTTTTACCCGCATATAATGCATTTTTGAAATGGCACAAAATTATTGAGGCAATCGCGTGAATTTTTTTCATCGCGGATGATGATGATTATAATTTCTGTGGCGAGAGGAGAGTGCACTTGCGAGAGTGAAGAGTTCTCGCATTCCCACGTTACATCTGTCGCACGCCCGCATGAATCACGCCTGCATGTTATAAAACTCGGAGCATTGCGACACAATTTCGATCGTTTTAACGCATCGATTGTTCGCCAATTTCCATTTAGATGACACTTTCGCGGCTCATTCTGCCTTTAATTATGACACTGCAATAGTGATTGTACTTTTATTGACCAATTTCTATATAAAAAGAACTAAACGCTATATTCTATATATGAGAAAAGAATATAAATTGTCTTTTATTACGAGTTTATTCAATTTTTATTTTTATTTAAGATCAAGCACATTAAATTACACTCCTATTAATGTGAGAAATAATATGAAAATTATCGTTTTAATTAAAAGTCGATATAATATACTTAATCTTAAAAGAATATTAAAATTGATTTGAGAAAACAATAATATGTAATAAAAAAATTTAAGACTCTTTATTATTATTTCGAGAATATATGTATAAAATTGGTTGTTAAATTTTATTTTCTGTAAAAAAAATAATACTTTCTTCTATCGTTATAAATATATTCATATTTCTGTAAATCTTGATCAAGTTAATCAAAAACTATCTATAAACGAGAACATATATTATCAGCAATAATAATAATATTATTAATCATTTAATTCGTACTTAAGAGTTTTTAAAAATAGATATTTTAAATATTGAATATGTTATAATTATACCATTAGTTATTTAACTCGCACAAAATCGGTGAAATCCGAATGAAAGTTAAGCCAAGCAACCAACGAAGAATATCCGGTAATCTCGAGATCGCGTAAGAGATAAAAACAGGGACTTCGCAGATGAACGCGCAGGTCGGATGAGGTCCGGAAGTTCACAACCTTTAGTATTCTACGAACAACTTCGTCCTTTTCCGATGTCATGTCGGATTGCACACACATATGTACGTAGACACGTGCATATGGTCATAAAACTCCAAAATTTACGACGTTACGTGAATAGTTACACGGACAACGGAAGGTTCTCTGATGCATATAAAATCAATTTTTCCTTAATAAAAATGTCTTAGCGTTAGCAGCGTACTAGAAAATTTGTAAGAAAAATTGTAAATTATTTTCGTATATCTCAAGTTTTTAGTTTGCATTGCAATATATTAAATAAAATCCTCATTATTCACTTAAATTTCTACTAAATTTAGTTTCTTTCAAATTTAATAGTAAAATATATAATTTAATAATAAATATTTACATATTATTTTAATAAATATTTTTTTTATTATTAAAATAATATATAGATATTTATTATTAAATTATATTTTGCTATTAAATTATTGTAGATATTCTTTTAATAAATAGATTTTTAAAAAGTCGTGTAAATGTCATAATATATTAAAAGCTTCATATAATTTATAACTGTTTAAAATTATTATTTTGATTAATATTATTTGTGCAGAGAATACGTAACTAAGAAACGTTGTTAAGAGATGTAATAAGGTATGATGATACTTCACATGTGTGTGTAAAGCATCAAGCGTATGTCTTAATTAAGAAAGTGAAGTATGTAAGGTTGTAACACATGCTTTTAACAAAGAAGATGCGACCTCGACCAGCATCCGGCCGCTGTTTAATTACAGCCGGAAATGAATCGTAGATATTCATGCAACAAGCAAAAATAGCAATTTTATTTGCATTACCGGCAATAAATCCTGTATAAAATATGTGTAAATAAATAAGACAACGTATATATCTCATGGTAAGCATGATATCTCCGTTATCTCAATTAAATGACTCAACAATTGGGTCAAATCAACACATCCGGTGGAGAGAAATAATATTTATATATCCCTATATATATTCGTTAAATTATATATAAAATGTAATTTTTAATCTGCTTTTTGATAACGTAGAAGAGAATTTTTACGCAAAAAAAAATCAACTTTTGAAATTACTTTAATTCGGATGTATCGAAAAAAAAACCGATTCAACCAAAGTTAACCCATTTTCTTAAAGGTCCATTTATTTACAGAAGGTGAAGAAAGATAGATAATCAAATGTATTTCGAAAGTTTAGATTCGTTTCGGGATGTCTGTTTTCACGTATCTTCCGTTGCAAGCGTTGCAAAGCGTGTCGTTGCCGACACGAAACGGAAATATCCGTCCATATGTTGACACGAGGTCACAGACGGTTATACTGGCGTACGTCTTATAGCCTCATCGAAAGAATACGTTTCTCTTCTACCATCAATTCTCTTTTCTCGTCTGGGGAAAAGACCATATGCCTCGAATTCTATTTTTCCGTCTAAAGGAAAAAGGAATGATTACGTCCGGCTCTTTTGCAATTAAAAAATCTCAACTATAATGAAATATTTCACCTAACTTTATTTATAAAAATATTACTAATTTCTCAATTTTCATCGAAAGAATACGTTTCTCTTCTACCATCAATTTTCTTTTCTCGTCTGGGGAAAAGACCATATGCCTCGAATTCTATTTTTCCATCTAAAGGAAAAAGGAATGATTACGTCCGGCTCTTTTGCAATTAAAAAATCTCAACTATAATGAAATATTTCACCTAACTTTATTTATAAAAATATTATTAATTTCTCAATTTTCAAAGTTAATTTTCTTTAAACATAATCTTGTCCCACGAAATTTGATCTTTTACATATACACATAGGGGAAGAGAGTTATCCCTCTCTAGTTATATTGCTAATAATAAAATCTAATATATGTACGTGCAAGCGAGAGAATTAGTTATGCAACGTTTTTCACATTGACTTGCATAAATTCAAGAAAACGTATTATTCCGTGTTATATATATATTGCAAAGACCAAGTTGCAGCGCACGATATCCAATAAAATGGATGTGCTGAGCGATAAACCGAGTCGCATAAATCTATTGAAAGACAGAGGGGTCAGTAACCGCGAGATTAAGCATTCTGCCAGCATATTCGATTCTATCCTCATATTATTTACCGGTTGTACTTCCTGGTGTTACCCCAGCGCAGATCTAATGCTTCCGGCGCTGACAGTTAACTTCCAGAAGGCGTCACGTTGTACCGATCTCTCCGACATGATAATAAATCATGCTTCAAAAATCATTCCTTCAAAGACCACTCGATTCGATTAATCGGATAAATTTTATGCACATTAATTCAATAGAAATCTTCATAAATATATCGCAATATCTTGAGAACGAAATGTTTTCTTTTTTCATTTTTATTTTCATCTTTATTTTTATCTTGATTTTTTTACCATACACGTATGGATAATAAAAAATTGCCAGATAGCACATCTTCGCGGAATTAATCATCATTAATTATCTTGCTCTCAAACCTCGAGTTCTAAAATTGTGTTAATTAAACCGTTTGGATCGCAGCGGTGTAATTAGTGCAATTAGCGTCTGCGTCTGCATATTGAGTTGTGTTCTACTTGTTGTGTATCTGTGCATTTATTTTATTCGAATTTATTAAGGATTATCATGAGACGGCACGATACGTACATGTATATGTTCGAAGACCGACGAAAACATCCGGACGAAAGGAGAAAGAGTACCCTTTTGCTGCGATATTTATCCCTACTATAAACGTTTACGTTCTTCGAGATTTTGTCCAGAAACCCAAGAAAAGCGGAACTTCTGTAAACTGCTCGAAACTGCGAATTGTTTACACCTTTCAATTCTAATATACCAAAAGAATCTATTTTAAGAATTTTTAAATATTATTTCCAAAGAAAAAATCGCGACGAAACAGAGGCCAAACTTTCTATAAAATAGTTTCGTTCAAAGCTCATTTAAATATAGAAATCAAGAACTCACACATATAATTATGCTGTCCAGAATTCTTGCAAAATTATAAATAATATTAACAAATATTTTGTTGCTAATAAATTTTAGTGTAAAATTTAATATAAAAATGTATCAAAAATAATGAATATAACATCATCAATGAAACGTAATATTTCATAAATATATCAAAATACTTTTATCTCAATTCTTTTAATTGTTAATTAAAAATAAAACCTGTACACATCGTGCGTAGAAAATCTATAAGGATTAAAGATCGATGAAATCTCGAAAATAAAATGTTTGACGATCGAAATGGCAATATCGAAAATTGATCTGCTGAAAATATACGTTCGATTCGTTTGATTTGAAACGTCAATTTAGAGATTCGTGCTCGAAAAGGGATTCGAGAGGCGCGATCAAAACGACCATCAAGTACATAAACGAGCTTTGATTGGTCAATACGCGATGTCCGGTAACTACGATTTATTAGCAAACCAAAAGTTGTACACACATCCGCAGTTATTCTTCGATAACTCTCATTCGATCGCTCCTCAATCGTCGATCAAATCGCATTTGTCTACACATACGGATAAACGTTTAGAAAATCAAATCTTTTCTATGAATTATTCAAGAGACATATTATGTCATTATATAATAAAATAAAAATATAATTTTAACCATTCTTATAATTATGCCTCTCTTGATTATAATGTAATTAATATTTTCTTTATAACACAGAACTAGATGTCTGTGTAAAAATATCGTTTTATAAAGTTTATCA